TTATTATTTGTGTAAAAACTGGTATTTTACAGACTGCAAACAATAAAACACTCACAGTGCAAGGCTAGTTCACCGGCATGTCTCTTCTCTTGCTTGAGTGTGAAAGTACATGGTTTAATGATTACCTCTTATGTTTTTAAATATTAGAATTTCTTTTATTGATTTTTATGATTCAAGTGTATTTATTTATATGGTTCAAGCTATTTAGTTATCGTTATGAAAAGATGTAAGAAAGAAATCTCGTCATAAATGGAAATATGCAGAATGTGTCCATTTTGCAATAAAGTTGCCCTTAAAATGTTTGGGGTCACTAGTCTATGTTTAAAGAGATTTGGTTGCAATTTTAGCAATTACTGTGGCGGCCATCTTGTCAGTATTAGCATGATGTTATCATTGGTTTCTATGGCGTATAACGCCATATTTTATTGTTGCCTGATGAAAGAAGCGAGAAGGGAAATTTTATTTTTTTTCTAGATTTTTCAAAAAAAATTGGTCGAAAATATTAGTATTTACAAATTATGAAAAATGCTACACTGTAAAACATTCTGTGTTATATAACTGTTCTAAAAATAGTACTTTTTGAAAAAATATTTGGTCAATTTTCTGTAAATAGTACGAAACAGTGAATGTCATCTTCGTCAGCCAAGGAACTGTCATGAATTTGTTTTTGCGTATCCGTTAACCGACTTAATTAGTTGATTATTAGCGAATTGCTGTGTTATGTCTGTCATCGTTTAGGCCTATTTGAAGTTTTGGACGGAACTTGGCTCAGTGATTTGGAACTAATTACAAGATACCGTCGCTATTCTGACATCCGTAGTTATTAATGTAGTGAACGATTAATCAAAAGATATGACGTATTCAGTACTTAGTGTGATTGGCTTTATGATTGAAGGTTACGCCCTAGAGTCTTTTTACTGCATTGTAATTGGTCAGAGTTTTGAAAATGAATAAAGAGAGTTTGAGTTGGTCTTGGCGAATACTCCACGACAGACGCAGTCAGTCCTGGAGAGACTTGGGGCGAGCCTTGACGCAGTCTAAGAGAGTCTTGGGTCAGCCTTGCGATATAGTCTTGGGGACTTTTCCCCAGGGCGCTGTGTCTTATAGAGTGCTCCAAAGGATCGACTAAGACGAGAGTTGAAACGTATTTCGTTGTGTGTGTCTTATTTGACTGTAAAGTTAAAGTGACTTTCCCGATCCCGTACCTCAAGGGGACGAGATAGAGAGACGAGACGAGTTTCCCCCCGACAGAGTGGAGACCCCGAGAGAAAGAAGATTTACCCCTGATACGTTTTGGATGATCCCGGGCAGGTGTTTAACACACATTGACATCCTGTGAAGAAAAGTGAAATGACGAAGAGGTGTCTTTCTTGTGAACCGAACTAACTGGCTCGATGGCAGAGACGACTCAGAAACCGCGCTCGACGACTAACACCGTTACCAGTATGGCACCGATGTACAACGCTGAAGAGATGAAGACTTCTGAACCCCTTATGAAGGACGAGTACCGAATAGGACTGTATAATTAAGAATTGAGCGACATTAAAGACAAGAAGATGACA